TGATGCTTTACTATTTTATATTACTAATTTATATGTATCTGATTAATATATTGCTAAATATGTTATATCACAATTATAAAAAATAAAAATGCTCTTTAAGCATTTACTTCAAATATCATATAGCAGAAAGTACTAGAAAATTTAGTTTCATGAAAAAATAAAAGCTGATTTCCAAAATAAAGTAGGAAAAGGTAGTTATTTTTGTTGAAATGGCATTACTTGAAGCCATTAATTGACAAAGCAATAGAATAGTAATAGCTTGTAATTTTTATTTGGGTTGGTAACTACAATAATGTTTTACATCATAACCTCACATACAGACTATACTGTGGTTTAGGGCTGAATAGAACTGAAGGTAGACGTACGATGCTATTGTATTAAACCCAAAATCATTTCATGCACAAGTTCTATATTAAAGTATAAGATATGCGAAAATAGCATTAAATCATAATGCTGCTTAGCTCAAATTCCTTTATACTACTTTACAAGCAACTTTATTATGATTAATCTATAATCGAACTATCAAAATATATTGAATCATAGTCTATATCATAGTTCATTTTTAGCTACAAAATAATAGTGAAACGCTGTAAAGAATAGATTGATAAAAAATTATATGCATGTTTGATTTGTATCATTTTACATATTTCATAAGCACTGCTATCATTAGATATATTCATTCAATCATAATTGTGATATAACATATTTAGCAATATATTAATCAGATACATATAAATTAGTAATATAAAATAGTAAAGCATCATGTAAAGATGCATGAAGTATAAATTATATTTAATAAAAATAAAAAATTAATAAAGTTTTTTAGAAAAACAGTAAAATAAACTAAATAATAAAACACTTCCCTGCTATAACAATAATTCTTTGAAAAATCTGTTAATTTTCAAAATGCATCCACCACCATCTGTAACATATGAAAATGCTGATGACCTATTTCAAAGTATTCAAATATTTGCCAATTCTCAAGGTTATGTATTGGTGAAAAAAAGAACGTGTAAGGATAAACATGGCAACTTGAAAATATGACATTGCGCTATGACTGTGGTGAAGTTTATACTAGCTCAGAAGAACTTCAAAGGCAAACAAGTATCTGGCTAATTGACTATCCTTTTGAGTTATATGCTGGTTGGTGTGCTGGCCTATGGTATATAGAAGTTTGTAATAGAATCCATAACCATGATCTCTCAGAAAATTTATCAGGATATCCAATGTGCCATCGACTCACAGAACAACAATTAATAAACATTTTAGAAATAACTACCTCTGATTCACATCTTCAAGAAATTATATCAACCATCCATCAAAATAGCCTATTATTATTAGTAATAAATAAAGATATTTATAATGCATGTGATCGTCTTCGTAAACAGAGTTTGGAAGGTCATACTCCAGTTGAAGCATTAATAGATAAGCTTAGAGAGGGTGGTTATATGTATGAATACAAATGAAATAATGTTGGTTATATCACTCACCTTTTTTTTGCATATAATGAATCTATCATGTTAATCTGCTGTTATTTTTCTGTTCTTTTAATGGATTATACCTATAAAACCAATAAGTTCAAAATGTCTTTATTGAATGTTGTTGGTATGATTTGTTTCAATATGACTTTTTTTTCATATTTTATCTTTATAAAAGACAAAAAGGAAGAGGATTATCTATTGGCTCTAAGCTGTGTTGCTCGGTTGTTTGATGAAGTACCAAAACCTAGGGTTATAGTAACAGATAAAGAGCTAGCTCTCATAGATGCTCTTAGGACAACCTTTCTAATTTATTATGCCTGTGGTATATTAATAAAAATGTAATGAAAGACTGCAAACTACAATTCATGGGTAATGAGTGGCAAGTTTTTTTGTTCAAATGGAATAAGGTTGTTCAGTTTCTAATAGAAGAAGAATTTAATACAAAATGGTATAAATTTTGTAATGCTTATACAAACAAACCTCATGTCATTAGTTATCTTGAGGAAACTTGGATACCTTGAAAAGAAAAATTCATAAAAGCATGGACTAATAGGTAGGAAACAGATTATCAAAATTTTTTCACTTGATTAATTGGTTAATTATTTTTTCAATTGAGTGAAACTAATTGATTAATCGACAAGTTGCAACTAATCGATTAATCAATAAAACTAATTGATTAATTCTTTGGTCGATTAGTTGGTGTCTAAAAAGTTCAATCGATAAGTTGTCAACTAACCAACTAATCGATTTTTTTTAACTTTTGATTTGTTGGTGTCTAAAAAGTTCAATCGATTAGTTGTCAACTAACCAACTAATCGATTTTTTGCAACTTTTGATTTGTGATACTACTAATAGCTTTTTTATTTGGAAACAACTGTTACTTCTTGAGTTGAAGATACATATGCAACTATTAAAACATACTTATGTATATCTGTGGGTGATCTTCATTCTGTCTGTATAAAAATCTCTTTAGGGTAAAAAATCAAAAAAAAAAATAAACCCAAGGCCTTATCAGAAAAAATTTGATTTCTAACCTTCTCGCAAAATAATTTATATACTGATATTAAGAGCAAAGTTTCCAACTTTGCCCTTAAAAAGATAAACGAACAACACCAAAGAATAAAGTGTGCGATGATACAAAAACCCTTACCACCATGTACTGGATCTTTTTCAAGCACAATGGGATTACCTTGTGCTCACAAAATCCAACTTCTAGAAGATAATCAAAGTCTAACACTTGATGATATTCATGAGTATTAGTGGATCCAAAATCGTTTACTAATATCATTTGTTAATACCAATACTCATAAATTACAACCCTCCTACAAAATTTAGAAGAAAGATATAAGGAATGGCCAGAACACCAACAAGCAGCTGCATGAGAAACATTGAATAATATGATTGATACCCCTTAATAGACTTACAAAATCTTCAAGTATCTCATATAAGAAGAAGGTCTTCTGGTGCCCCTAACCACTGAACAAATAATTCAACTAGAAGAGATCCTTCTGGGTTCAAGTTGGTAGAAGGTAGAGTACAACGGTGTACTCTTTGCAAGCAGCCTGGACATTATACTAAAACTTGCTTAAATAAATGATAATTTGTTAGTTAGCAATAATATAGGGCTTAGCTCAGGTGTTTATATTAGGTATATGGTGGTTTATTTCTTCAATTGAGTGGTTTGAATTTTCTTAAATGCACCTTTAGATTTAGTATAAATCTTAATTCGCTTTGCTATAATGATTGAATAGAATAAATTAATTAACATTGCTGCACTATATAAAGCACATGACTAAATAATAATCCTTACCTAAAACAAAATAGTTGATTTAATTAAAAATTTAAATGAAATATACTCTTTCTATAACGAAGTAATAGTGCTAGAAAAAATTTTGTTATAGAAAATTAATATGTTTTCTTAAGAACCATGCATACCTTGTATACTAAACTATCATAAAATTTCAGTTTTTTATATCCAGCACTCATTATATAAAGATTCGTTATATCCAGTGTCGACTGTATCTATCAGTTAGAGAAGAGTAATACATATTGCTTAATAATGTAATCGATATGCTTCGCAATCTTCTTGTTTGACTAAAATAAAACAAAATCTGATTACCTCTAATTCAATGTTAATATAAGAGTACATAAACTGGAATAAATTATTAAATTAATTATTTACCCTTAACCAGTTAACTGGAATAGAATCTTTTTGAACCAACTCTAAGAGGTTATATTAAACCTTGAGACTTAATTCTAATAAAAGTGTAGTAAATAATTCTCATGTTTTTATATAAATAATTTGCGATTAGTTAGTAACTAATTTTGAAAAATACTGATAAAGAACGTTTCAAATGTTGCGAAAAATTCTGGCTGAAGTTTATACTTGAAGTGTGCTTGAGATTCTTAGTACATACGTATATATATGTTTGGGTTTTTTAATTACATATGTACTCAAATGCTCTATTATCGACTTAATACAAATGTCGTGTAAAATTTTCTTATTACATATAAAATCATGTAGTTTGATTGGCTAATATAGAAATCGATCACAAGTTGTATTATATAAATTTTTTTTTGCATAGGTAGGGGTACGAATAGCAATAATAAGAGTATAAATAGGACTGCCTAAATATATCTATATATGGGGTGTCAGTAGAAACCAAGCAAATTGTTTCTAAATAAATTTTTTTAAAACTTTAAATAAAAATATCTCAACAACTATTAAACCAAACTTGATAAAATTTTTTTATTTTAATTTTATATAGTTGTAGAATTAAAATAAAAAATTTTTTATCAAGTATAGTTAAATAGTTATTGAGATATTTTAATTTAAAGTTTTAAAAAAACTCACTTAAAACAATTTGCTTGGTTTTTACTAACACCTCCATATAATTATTATAAATATCTAATAGTTATAATTTAAAATTTTTGTTTAAATATAAATATATAATAATAGTATATTTATTTCTAATTTGTGCTATTTATAAATCAATTGGTAGTAAACTATAAAAATGTTTTTTTATAAGCTATTACTTTGTATGTACAAATGCTTGTAATAACAATATTTTGATAATTTTTAAAAATAAAAACTTGTATTTAGAAACTGTTTCTTTTATTAATTTAATATATCTATTATTAATAACTAATAAAAAAATTGCTAATTTTTATATATAAAAACATGTCTTTGTTATTTAAAGTTTGCTTATGAATATAACTTATTTTGATTATTGTTATTATTATATTTTGACATATTATTATACAGTATAAATCACAAAGAAACGAATCAAAATATATTAACACAAATAAATTCATAAGTACTAAAAAACAATTTCCTATAAGCATTAATATAAAACTCTTTTATAAATTAGGAAAGTTATATTCATAAAACCGTATTATATAACACCTTTTGCAATATCTCAAAAACGTACTAAGTAAATGGGTGTAGGTGCTCTAAGTAAAAATGATCAGCGCCCCTGAAGATCTTATGTCTAATATATGTCTAATATATATTGTATAATAAAAAATCTTTATTTATCTTAAAACCAGACCCTAACCCTAAGTAAAACATATAGGGTGTTATATAACACGGGTGTTATGAATATAATATTCCTATAAATTATAATATGAAAGCGATAAAAAATTCGAGAGAATTGCATTAAAACTATATTAGAGCTAATACATAACATACCAAAACAATAAATAGAGTATATAAGTACACTCATTTCAATTCTCTTTAAACAACTCAAGTGTCTAGTTTATAATAATTGATCGTATTCCTCCGAAAATAAGCACCCTGCCCACATTATGCAAAGGTATTATGCCTATTTATTGTAACTGGTGTTACGTTGAACTTATTACGAATTATTCCTATTGGTAAAATTGAGGTAATACCTCCTGGAATACCTCCAAGGAGTATACCATTTAGACTTACATAACTCAAATCTTTATAAGTAAATGTAGCCCCTCCACTATCACCTTGAGTAGCATGAATACTTGAGATCGTCAAATCTGTTTCATAGTAGAGTCCAAACGCGTTAACTGCTCTTAAATAACCACAAGTAACACGTGATATAAAACCTGCTTTACATAAGTGAGCACCATGACTAGTTACAGTAATGTCATCATCAATATATAAAAATTTGTCGCTTTCACGATTGCCTTCAAAATTTATGCTTCTTATAACTACCGTTGGTGAGAGCACTTTCAATCTTTTATCTTCTATTCTGATTAAACCAACGTCATATTGTAAATCTTTTAATTTGTTCATTTCCCCTATTTTATCTTTTTTGTCATAATTGGATCCATTCCGTACGGCTAAATAAAATGATGTTCTCCGAAACCTCCGCTGTTTTTGACAATGTCCTGTGGTTACAATGTAATTTCTCTTTAAGTTATTCGATTTTGCCCAAAAACCCACTGAACATGCATTATTATCAACACCATTAATTAATCCTTCTCCAACGTAAATTGGAATATTAAAGTCACGTTTATTTATGGCAACTTCACTTTGAGGTCCCGTAGAAAATGAACTAGGTAGGTATCCATACTCGAGTGTTAGATTATATTGTCTAGTAGCATTTATAAATTTATCTAAAGATCTATCATTTCGTGGTAAGCATAGAACGACATTATTAATCTTCATATCAATAAAATAATAAACGTTTATTGCGAAATAATCTCGGGTTGCTTTGAATATTTCGCGAATTATTCTTCTTAATCTTGCTAAAGAATTATTTCCTTGTTTAAAGCGTATTAAATCAACATATGGACTTATTTCAGGCAAAGATTTTATAATATCAGCTTTAGTGAAATTTATAGTATTAACATATACAAGGTTCTCTTTTACATCAATATAAGTTCCTCCAAAACTTTTACCATCTAATAATGGGTTTAAGAGTTTATCAATCATGCTTAAATTTCGTTCAACAGACAATAGTCTTGGCACTTCGTAGTCGCTTACATTCCACAGCCTAGCTAATGGC